GGTCCTGCGTCCCGAAAGTCCAGTCAGTAGCAACAACAACAACAGCAAATACAATTTATTTGCAAATTGATATTTAAAGGTCAGAAGAGGGATATTTCTCTTATGTTTTTTTGGTCTTGGCCAAGAGCATTTCAGCTAATGGCTAAAAGCAAATGCAAAAAAATGCAAACATCAAGGATGAGTAGGAATTAAAATGACGGAGACGAGCAAAGGCTCTTCAACTGAAAGGGAATCTCTTGCCAAGGGACAAGGACATCAAAAACTTGGCACACGACTCTAGTCGCCGGGCATTAAAAGAAAAGTTTCTTGAACCCGCGAAAAGGAACGCAGCTTATCAAAAACATTTCGACATTTTGCGCCTAATGAAGTTATAACCCAGACACAAGCCACCCCGACCTCGACTAGATATGCAAAGCTCTTCTTTCCCATGTAAACTTTTCTACTTTTTTTTTGGTTCTATTTTATATATACTTTTATTTTGCAATTGTGTCGCGCATTTGAATTAAGTGCAAATGACATGAGATTTTACAAGGGGGGAAGGAAAACAATGCGAATAGCAGCTGCCTCTTAGGAGTTGCACCCCCTCATTTTCCCTGGACAAGCTTTTAAGCCACTTCACAGTTGTTGTGAGTGCAACGCTGGCTGCTCACTCTCTGCCTTTCCACAGGCTTTTCCCTTTGACTTGGCACTGGCACCCGGCAGCGGCGGGCACTCCTTTTGCTTGTTTTTCCCCCCGCAACGCTTCGGTGCAGTTTTCATTGTCTGGCTTGGTACTTTTTGAATTTATTGAAATGTTTGTTTGTCTGCCATGTTTGCTGTATAGTAGTTGTGTGTTGCCTGGGTTGTTGCTGCATTGTTGTTGGCGTTTCTGTGAATGCGCCCTCCCCAAACCCCATATTAATTCCGGCGAGGAGTCGGTGTGCTTCTTAGAATCCTGCACAGCTGCGCCTGGCGGTATGCAGTGTTATTCTTTCTGGAAAGATTTAGGAAATAGTAGTATAGGGTATGTTGGGTTTTGAGAAAAAGAGAGTGACAGAAAATATGAGTCTTATAGAGTATATTTTTTATCCTGAAAAATTATCGGGAATTACAGAAAACAATTTCTAGAGATTTAAAAGTGCTTAAAAAGGTTTTTTATATCTGGACATATTATTGCATACTTTTAAACGCCATTTTAAAAGATCTAAAACCGTCAGAAATATTGATTTTGATTAATTCTTTAATTTAAATGCCAATATATTAAACTTTAATTACGAATACATGTATTATAATTAAATATTATATTTTGAAATTTAAAAAAAAATTTAAAAAAGAAGGTATTTCAAATTCGAATCCTTCTATAATTTCCTGCTTTCTCCCCTAGCTTTGACTGCATTTTGTTGTCACAAAATATTATTACTCCATTTCATTTATAAAAGTGCCCGCGCCCCTTCCTGAGGATTTTCCCTCTGCCTCTCTGGTTGCAATTTCATTGTCAGTGTCTTGTTCTGCACTCTTGTACCGTCATAGAGTATATATAATAGTATTGTTGCCATTGTCGGTGGCTTGTTGTCATTGGCTTTAACTCCTAATCCACAGGTCACATCTGGCCCATTGATCAAAGTGTCTCGCTGGTAGACAGCAAACTTATTTCTGCTGCTTAAATTAAGCACCTAGCATCGCGCCACGCCCACGTAGCTGTCAGCTTTTCCCGATGACAATTTTCAAATTTATTCTGCCATTTCTTTTGTCTCTCTGGCAAATAGAAGAACGCCTACATAGGTTTTCTACAAACGTAGAAAATGTAGAGGAAAACGGGGAAAAACCATTTAAACAGCAGACAATTTTTCAATTTCCCCACACACACAGCACACAACGCACGCCCTGAGACAATTGACAATTGAGAATGATGGTCGGGTAAACAGTTTTTCCGGGTTAATAAAATAGTTTTTCTCCGCAGTAACGCCCACTGAACAGTAATGAGGATTTTTCCCTCTAAAAAAGGTAACCAAAAAAGGTGAAAAAGGGGGGCAAGAGGAGGAGAAAGGAGGCTCAACATGTGTGTTTGCTCACTGTCTGCACAAACACTCGGCGCGGGACAAAAACTCACAAAGGCGAATTGGAGAATATTAAGCAGTTTTATTAACTTTCGGGCATAAAGCTTAAAGGAAGCCAGCGGGCCAAGAGAGGAGTGGCAAATGGCAAATGGAGACATTTTTCTTTTGGGGGGAGGAGGGAAGAAAATTCTTGAAGTGAAATATTTATGGCTGGCATTTTTAATGGATTAACTAACAGCAGCGACTTCCTCCTACTCCATCCTCAAACTGGAAACAAATGCCATTTAATTTAATGTGTTTATGAAAAGCCAAGGCACTTTGAACCCGAAACTAACGAGAATTGAATTCGCATTGAATTGTAGTTTGCTGGTTCGGCCCATTGTCTGTCTTGGATTTTTCGGGGTGTGGCCGCCTTCTCTCCGCCGTGGAAGTGAAAAAGAAACCTTTTTGATTTGTGGCTCACAGAGTTTTTGGGCGTTTGTTGTTGTTGTTGTTGATATTTATGGCCGCGCGGAAAAGGAAGTGGTGCCTGATTTATGCCAAAGGAAATGACAACTCAATGGCTTCATTAGTGCTGTGTCCTCTTGGAGGTCCTGCTGCATACATTCGAGAGAGTGTGCTAGGTTAGGAGTTTATTGCACTTCGACTTTTGACTTTTACGGGGTCGTGTCTCGTGTACATGGAAAGTTTTGTTCTCTCCTAACAATAATCTCGAAATTCGGCAATAATAATTTCATGCTTATAATTTGCTGCTGCGGTTTTTGCCAAAAAACTTTGCACACGCCACTCTCATAAATTATGAAGAGCAGGACAGACACAGAGTCCTCAATCCTCCTCAATCCTTTGCGTCCTGTGAGTCCTGAGTTCATTCTCTTTTTCGGGGGCGCGAGTTCAACTGAATTGTGGAGAACTCGAGCTTGAGAAATTAGCAAATCGTCACGTAGCGAACATGAAGATGCGAAATATTTATGACAAGAAACAGAGAAATAAACTAAGGGGAGATTTTTAAAGAAATAATTTTTAGAAGGAATATTCAAGGATGTTACAAAAAAATTAATGTTAAAGTGGTGAGGTTACTTTTCTTGGTCTAAAAATTAATAATAATTTCGTTTTTTCTTTGTTCTTAATTGTTTTTTCCAAAATATAATTTTCTAAAATTTCTTTCCGTGCATTAAAAACCCAGAGAAAGCCCTGCCAGGACTGTGATGAAATGTACTACACATGTGCGTCTGCATTCCTTTATTATTTCTTGTATTTCTTTATTTTTTCTCCTTTTTTGGCCCTGTAAGAAAAGGCAATACAGGCGGCGGAGAGAAGCATTATTGCTGCAGTTGCCTCTCCTATCTGGGTTATACTGTTATCGTCCGTAATCCCAGACGAGCACAAGACTCACACCCAGGCCAGGATCAACATGGTCTCCTTGAGCAATCAACTTAATTGCTTTAGCAACTCACCCTTCCAACGAGGACGAGGACAGAGACTCAGACTCCGACTCCTTTGTTTAATGAGTGAAAATTGTGCCTCGTATCGCTTACCCAAGCAGGAGTGAATACCGAGTGCAAACATTCATTAATCGAATCTCTGTTGTTACGAGTTGATTTTATTGTTGCCAAGATTTATGAGCTGGTCCCCCCAAGAAGTTGGCAAACAAAACAGGCGAAAGACAATTGCAATGGGCCTGGGCCTTGGGCACCGTGCAAATATTAATTTGTTGATTATTTTAGCCAAGAGTTGTTGTTGCCGAGTGCTAGAAAGTGTCATCCTTTGCCTGGGTAAAAGTTCTTAGCAAATATTAGCACAAGTTTGCCAAAGGGGATTTAGGGGTTTATGTTTGGCCAACCAACTCCTCCTAATCCCCCTTCTCCTGCTCGCATATTAAAAGTGCATTAAACTTGCTCTACCAAAGAAAGACATTCCTCAGCTGCAATTGATTGGTTCTACGTGTCCTTTGGCCTTAATTTCGTTACACTCACTAAATTATTCACCTGTCCATATAATACTCTCTACACATATACAAAAATTCAAGTCTGAGTGCTGTTATTCCGTCTGGTCAGGTGCCGGTCGGACCATCACAAATTACCCAAAACAGAGTCACAAATATATATAGGTATGTATATGTATTCCCTCATCATTGGGTTAGTTGGCTTTGATTGGCGGCGATGGCCCCTGAAACTATTCCCACCTTAGCCATATTTCGTGGATCCTTTCAACACCTTTTTGCCTTTTTGACGGCTTTATTACCTCTACCACCCACCGCTGGAATATGCCAACTGGAGTGTGAGCTTCTCTGCCGCCGGCTCGCCATATTGATTATCGATTTGGGAATTGGCCTGGACTGCTAGCTGGCTGACTTAACTTGGCTTAGATGGTTACCTGGTTGTGGTCCTCTGTGTCCTCCTGTGTCCTGTGTGTGTGCATTCAATTTGGGCAACGTGTTAGCCACTTTGGCTTAGACAACGGAGAAGCAGCTCCTCGACTCTTTTTTTTTTTTTTTTTTGTATTTCGTTTGTTGTGCCGGCACGTTTGGATTTTATGGTTCATTTGTTGGCGCTTAGACGCTGGCTGGTTGCTTCGTTTAGTCCCTCGGCAGACATATATTGGAAATGTTCATTGGACACACACCTCGCGGCAGTGGGAACACCATCACAGTGGTTCAGTGGCTCTTTATTAGAGGAGTAGATGTGGCGGGGTAACGAACTTTTGCTTATTTTGAATTTTAAATATTTTATTTTGGGGGTTTAGGAGTTGGGGGTTTTATGGGAGAATTATTTAAAGTTTTTTTAAATATAAGAATTGTAAAGTTCTTATAAGATTCTTACAAGGAATACCTTTAAATAATATATTATAATATTGAAAAATTACTTTTCCGGGAAGTTTAAATAGTTATACAAAATATTTTACCTTTAGGTTAAGTTAAGTTGCCTAGACTTGACGCTAATAATTTTTTTAAATTTTGTTTTCCAGATCGAGGACGAGGGCAACCATGGCAATGATGAGACCCGGCTCTTTATACTCTCCTCCCTGGCCCAATCCCAGATGAGCCGCGTGGCCTGCATTCTGTGCGAGGAGCCGCTGTTGGTGTTCGATCGTTATCCCCTGGTCGATGGCTCCTTTTTCCTCAGTCCCAAGCAGCATTCCAGCGGCTGCATTGAGGTGAGTAACGAATTTACACTGAGAAATATATAAGAAATTGTAAAAGAGGAGAAAACAGGATAATTTTTTTTAAATATTTTGAGTTCAAAAATGAAAATAAAAATTATGAAAGAAGCTGATTTTTTTATATATTGATCTCGTAAATTATATTTATAATATTTTATTAGATAAAAGATAATTTTTAGAAAATTTTAAAAATAGTTTTCAGTTTATCCTCATCATTTATAAAACGTCAAATGTGCTCACTCCAAACTCCCACTCGCGTGGCAACCTCTTTCCGCTTTCACTCGCCCACGTGGCCCCTAAAGAACTTTCAGCTGCAATTAGCGGGACGAGCTTGCAGAGAGCTCCACCTTGACTTGGTGGCTCCACCTTCCCATGTCTCTCCGTTTACCCCCACTCCCACTCCCACTGCCACCGCCACTCCCATTGGCTTTGGGATGTCTGCTGTCCCCGCAATTTATGACCCATTTAAGTCGTCGTAATTACGCCAGGGAAGAGTTGGAAAAACTGCACATTGCACATTTTGTATTTTGCATTTTGTCTGCACAGAAAGAAAAAAAAGAAAGAAAAAGGGGGAACTGCACGCACGACCTACGCTTTCATGGGCTTATTTTCCCTGCTTTCCCTGGCTGACAGGGTTCTGGGAGTGCAACTGCGACTGCTGCAACTCCTCTGTGGGCTTTAATTTAAGCCTGGATTTATAATTCATTGCCAGCTGCCGCTGCTGCTGCCTGCTCTTGGAATTGGCTCTTTTGTGCCTTTCTGGTGGGTCTCCTCCCTTTGACTTTGACTTGGACTCGGTCTGCTCTCTCCGGGCCTTTTTGTTCGTGGGCGGCGGCGGCTTCAGTCTCGTCTCTTGGACAAGTTTATGCATTTTGCATTTTATTTGAAATTATTATGTCGCGTCGCAATGGCAGGGCTCCTCCTAGCTGCAGTTAGTACCCCAGCTCTAGATCTTACTCCAGCTCCTACTCAAACTCCTGCTCCTGCTCCATCTCCCTTTGCCTTTTGTCAGGCATGCAAGAATGCGCTCAATTCTTTTGGTCTTTGAGCTCCTCCTCCTCTGCTCTATTCTTTGCCCTTTGACACAAGTGGAAAATCAGAAAGCTGATACCCTAACAAAAGGCAGTTTTATTTGCTTTAGGGAGTTTTTTTTTAAGGTTTTTTTGTAAGGGTATTTAACTAGGCAAAAATAAAAAGAATAAAAATCAACTTTGGCAGTTTCTTTGAATAAAAATTGTGGTGTTTGCTGTGGGTTTTATATGGATTTTCTTTATGCAAGAAAAACTAGTATTAAAAGGGGGAATTTGTGATAGTTAGTAAATATAAATAGGCAATTTTAAGACTTTTATAAGAAATATTTTAATTTAAGAATAGTTTTTTTATATAACAAACTTTGCTAGCCTCTTACCCTTACCCTTAAAAGTCTAAACTATAAACTTAAGGTTTGATTTTAATCGGAAATCTTTCCTTAACTGGAATATTTCTTAGTTGGAATAATTGTTTTATTTATTAAATTCTTAAACAAACTTTAACCTTATACTTAAAACACTGGAATACACTTTCAAAAAGTGTATTCCAGGGTCTTAGAATTTATACTTTTTCCTGCCATAATTTCTCATTGTTGGTGTGTGTATGTCTGAGACCCCGAGGCTCCTGCTTGAATTATGCGGCTGGTTCCTGCCCTCTTTTTATCCTTTTGTCTGCACCTTTTTCAACGCTTCCGCTTCTTCGACTACGTTTTTGCAGGTGAAATACGAGGGACGCACTCTCTACTTGACCTGTGTTTGCATGAGCTGCCTGGATGGAACCTCTAGCAATCGCATCATCAATTGCAGGTAAGGATCGCGCAGGAAAAGATGGAGGAGTTTTGGGGAAATGGGAAATGGACATTTGAATGATATATTCTCTTACCTCTTTACCTCTTTTCGATTTCCTACACACACAGATTCTGCAAGGAGCCTTGGGATGGCTCCAGTTTGGTCTTGGGCACCATGTATGCTTATGATATCTTTGCGGCCATGCCCTGTTGCGCCGAGCGGTTCAAGGTGAGTTTTTAAAACCTGAAAATTCATTTTATATTAGAGAAAAAATATAAAAAATAAAGTTTATAAAATATAAAATATTTGTAAAGCTCTTGGGATACTTAAAAGTCCAAAATGGTAAAAGTTTTGATATTTTTTACACACTTAAATTTGTATTTAATACACTATAAACCATAAATTCCCTTAATTTTTACTTTTACTTTAATTTCACCCTCTATTTCCCCTTCTCTACTCCAATTTCAGTGCAATAACTGCTTCAAGATGCTTATGCATCCGCAGCAGCGTCTTAGCTTCTACAGTGACTACTCGCATGGTGTGACCTGTCCGTATTGCAACACCCAGGACACGCACTTTGTGAAGCCTCTGAGCTTCTGCTATGCCAAGAACCCCGTGCCGATTCCATCGACGCGGTTGCCAACGCTCGCATAACATGAGGCCCCGTTGGAGTCGCCAGTGGGTACAGCAACAGGCGCCACAGCCATTCAGGCGCCAAGTGCCCAGGGCGCTTCAACGGCCTCCGGATCCGGAACAGCATCGAGCGGATCCAGCTCCAAGCAGTCCAAGCAGCAGTTGTACAATGCAGCCATTGATTATTCGGCGCCGCTGCAGCAGCAAATAAATCCGGACTTGATAGGAGCACATCCACATGCCCAGCAACATCAGCAGCAAGGGCGACAGCAGCAGCAGCAACAGCAGCAGCAGCAGCCAGCACAGCAGCAACATCAGACTCAGCAGCAACATCAGCCACAACAGCAGCATCAATCACAGCAGCAGCCACATCAGCCTGTGGCCGCCACTTTCCAGCGAAATAACTACCAACAGCAGGCCAATAAAACCATAAACATGATGGCCATGGCAGATGCGATGAGCAAGTATCAACAGCAACAGCAACAGCAACAGCAGCAGCAGCAAAGACAACTTGCAACACAGAAAGTACCTGGACCAGGGCCAGGACTCGAGAGCCTTCTACTGACCAACACAACAGCAAATAGCATCAGCAGCAGCAGCAGTATTAGTAACTTAATCATTAGCCATAATTCAGCAGCAGCCAGCAATCTTGGCGGCAACAACAACAACAACAAGATGCAGTCCAATTGGGGACAAAGCGATGCCATTTCGGCCCTGTGGGGCTGCTCCAGCAGCAGCAGTGGCTGCTCTTCTGGAAGCGGATCACAGCCCTCGCTCAGTCCCACCGTAAGCAATCATGGCAACGACACCTCCAAGATGATGTTGTGGAATAGCCAAGGAGCAGCGGCTACACTCAGGGATCAACAACAACAGCAGCAGCAGCATAATCAACAGCAACAGCAGCCACATCATCAACAGTCGCATCAGCCGCATGCCGCCTCGCCGACAGCCTCGCTGACCAGTTCCAGTTCCTCCTCCAATGGATGGAGCGGTGCCTCGCATTATGGCAAACCGAATATCTGGGAGCTGCCGGGTCAGCAGGCAGCCGTGGCCAGAACCAATCTAAACAGTCACGACATCTTCACCGATCTCCTGTGCAACCTGAATATCAATCAGGATCAGCAGGCCAAAACCGATACCTCTGATGTCAGCTCGAATTCCTCCTCCTCGGCGGGTGAGCTACTCGAGGCGGCCAATATCTGGGGACGACCGCTGTATGGCAATCAGCTGTTCCAGGAGGCGGAAGTGGCCAATGGCGGGGGCGCCGCTTGTATGCAGCTGTTCAACGATTATCTCAACATGAACTAGGATCGCAATTTGTTATTTTTAGCTAAAATTTAACAACAACAAGAAGAGCCCCGAGAGCAGGAAAGAAGTGTTTAGTTTTTAAAATCATTTGATTTTTTATGTACAAGCCACACACACCCACAAAACACACACACATCAACAACAACAACAGTAACACCGAGAGAAAACAATGCAAAACTAAAAACAAATTTCTTGTTATTTTTTTGTTGAGTTTTTTTTTTATTTAGAATTTTTTTTTATTTACACTCACCCAACTACACCTATCTACCCCAAAAAAAAAGGAAAGCAAAACAAAAGCAATGATTTTTTTTATTCCTTAAATCAAATTTTTTTATACATTTTACCAAAAAAAAAACAAGAAAAACCAAGCGAAATGTAAAAGCAAAAAAAAAAAGTAGAAGGTAGTAAGGACGAAAGAAACATTTACATCACGACGAGGGAAACACTTTTATTTAGCATAAATTGAAGGCAGGGCATTATAAATTGTTTAAACAAATCATGATAATTGCTGTGCTGCTCAATAACACACAAAAAAAAGAAAGGAAACGAAAAGCAAAAGGGAGATAAAGATGATACAGAGTAGAAGTAGGAGAAGACGAGTAAAGCGAGATAAATGGGAAAAACATACGAAACATTTGCTACAATTTAATAAAAAAAAAAACGTAAAATTAAACATAAACCCTAAATTTAACAAAAAACAAACAACAACAACCTAAACGATAAGTTGCACATCTTTACCTAAGCGATTGGTAATTAATTCCTAGTTTTTAGTAAGCAAAACACACACAAAAAACACAAACTCTAGGCCGTTTAAGTTTCTCTCTTCACATACACACACCCTACACACAGTTCAGTTAGGTCCTCCGAAAAAAACAACACCCACAAACAGCAGCCAGAGGCGGCACATGCAACCCCTTCTAGTGTTTCCCTTCGGTATTTCAAGCAGTCTTTGACCCTCGCCCACGACCCCCCACTCACTCTCTATGTTGTAAGTCCTAAAAAAAACAAAGAAAAATATATAAAAAAAAAAAAATTAAAGTATAAAAAACATATAGAACTTTCGGCGCAGCGTGATCATTAATTAGTAAGCTTAAGGTTTAGGTTATAGATCTTCGATCTTCGTGTATGTAGGTACGTCTTAGGGTTCTTTCAAAGCAGAGCAGCCGTATGTGATGGATCTCTAAAATGGTGGCGAGTCCTTGGCACTCCTCACTGTCGTTTTAGGCTTAGTAGGTTTTAAGATCGATTTTTCTAAATTTTTAATAAAAATGGTATGCAAGCAAAACATCCAAACAATTTATATAGAGCGGTTCAATGTTTCCTGTTTTTTGTGTTTATATATTCCGTGCATTGAAAAGTCACCAAATTCCCTGAGAAAAAATCCCTGCCCCCCCTTTACTTCCCTTGAAAAATTCAGAACCTTTGTGAAATTTCAATTGAATTGAAAATAAAATTTTGGTCCCCCTTTCTGTGTATGTTTAGGCCTTCTAAACTTTAAATTTTGATCAGCAAAAATCTGTGTTTCAATAAGGCTTTTCCCTATTTGGTTTTTTTTTTCCGTATTTTCTTGTATCTGTGAAGTTTTTGATCAAATTGAAAATAAAAACCCCCTTGATATTCATCTGTGAAAGAGAGTTTAGGCCACCTAAATTCTAAATTTTCTAAATTTTAATTTCTTCTCTCAAAATCTGTGAAGTTTTTTAATAAAATTGAAAGTAAAAACCCAAATTTAAAGATCCCCTTCTGTGAAAATCAGTTTAGGCCAGCTAAACCCTGAAACCAAACACCAAAAACTGTGTTAAATTTTCCAGCTTCTGTTCTTTTATTTTTGGTATTTAAAAATGTGAACATTTTAATGAAATTAAAAGTAAAATCCTTGTCTTGTCTGTGTAAAATTTTAATAAAATTGAAAATAAAGCCCCCTTTGATAAATCCCCATCTGTGAAAAGCAGTTTAGGCCACCTGAACCTTAAAACCAATCACTAGAAACTGTGTTAGATTTTCCACTTTCTGTTTTCCTGATTTTCCATTTTAAAATTCTGTGAAAATTTTAATGAAATTAAAAGTAAAATCCTTGTCTTTTCTCTGTGAAACTTTGAATAAAATTGAAAATAAAACCCCCTTTGATATATTTCCATCTGTGAAATGCAGTTAAGGCTACCTAAAACTGTGCTAAAATTTGCTCCTTCTGTTTTCCTAATTTCCCAATTTTGAACCTTGTGAAATTTTAATAAAATTAAAACTAAAATCCCCTGATATTCTATCCTGTGAAAAGTGTTTAACCCGAAAAAAGACCAGCAGAAACTGTGTTAGATTTCCCCCAATCCCCCTATCGCGTTCGCTACGAACCCTAAAGCTTAGAACCCTGTAAGTTTCGTCAAATCATCTGTGAGAAGAGTGTTTGGATTTTCCCCCAATTGGTTTTCTTCTTTCGAAAAAATAATTATTAGTGGGGAAAACCCAAAACTCATTTAACCAACTTCACTGTGAGTGTTCGAAACGAACGAAATTTTTATAAAAAATTCTAAAAACTAAACCCTGATCCAAATTGTGACTAGGCCAGGCCCCTCTCCCTCGTGAAAACCCGTTTGCAAACAAACATTTTCAGAAAATGTCTAAAACCCCCCCCGAGACCAAAATTGCCTCTATGAAGACAGCCAAAACTGTGAACCCCGATATTTGCTCAGCCCCTGTGAACATTGAAAATGTATTTTTTGTATTCCTGTGAATTGCTGTTCGGTAGGAACAAATTTTTCAGAAAAATTTAAAAACCCCAAAAACCGAAAGCAACTGTGAATGCGTTTAGAGTATAAGCGAGTTTGTCTTTCTTTCAGTTTTTCGTTTATTTTTAACTGGATTTCTGTGTTTTTGATCGATGCATTGCATGGAATTTTTGTGGGAATAAAATTAAAAATAAAAACCCTTTTCGAATATCTGTGAATGCTGTCCCAAAACCCTTGAAAATTATCCCTTTTTACCCCATATTTGGTGACTTTTGGTGAGGGTTTTAACTGCTTGAAATACCTACTTTTTGAGGGATTTACGAGGACTGCCTGTGCTGCCTTTTCTTTTCAATTAAAAATAATAGTAATGAATAACCGCCGCCTCTGTTTTTTTTTTAATATTCTTGGGCATTTAGTTTTGCCGCCATTTACATACCAAATATTTAATAAAAGTTAATTTAAAGGACAAAAGTTTTTCAGAAGGCGTAATACTGAGTGATAGAAAATGATTTTTTTGCTTACACACACAAACACACACTCAACCTACCAGTAACGAGAGGACTTCGTTATGAATAATTATATAGAGCTACCATTAAGTTACCTATAACCTATGAACCTTAAACCTTAAACCTAAACCTAAACCTAAATTTGATAGAAACTAAACGACAAGCGACACTTTTTTGGCATTTACTTGAGAGGATTATATATAATATAAGTTTGGCACACACAATTTATATATAATTTTCGTCTAAATTTAAGGTTTTAATCTAACTAGAGAAGAAGAAGAGGAAAGTGTGCAGGAAAATGAACTTATTTTATAGGAAACCCAACCCCCTTACACCACACACACAAAAAGGAAAACATGACACAACAAATAACACACAAAAACCTCCCCCCCAAGCAGCATATATAGTTATATAGATATTTAATTGGTAATAAGTTCTATGCAAGCCGCACCACCAACTACTTACGTAAGTCAGCCCCCGTGTTTTAGTTTGATTTTCAGTGTTTTTTGTTTTTAGTTAAATGTGCTAGGATTGATGCGCAGTCGATAAACCACAACAAAACTTATGCCCACCTCAGCCACCAAGAAGAAAAAGCAAAGTATATAGAGCAGAGACCCCTGGAAACAGTAATAATTATAAATAATAATAATAATAGTCAGACTTCCGATCACAACTAAACTAACTCTTAATGAAGAGATAGAGTGAATAGAGGCGTCCTGAATTGGCAAGGACGAGGCGTTGATAGCAGCAACGAGAGCGAGAGTAAAACACATTAAAATGTAATTTATATTACCTCCTTAGCAAAAATCAATAACAAATAATGAAAATAACAAAAATAAATCAAATAACAAACTAATAACAATGTTTTCTAAATGCATATTAAACTATGATAAATCAAGGCGAAATAAAAAAACAAAATATGTACGTTTAAAGTAATCAATTTATAAACAATTTAAAGCAGTTTTTGTTTTAGTTTATAATTTTTTTGTACTCGAGAGAACTCTTCAAAACACAAACACACTCTATATATATATAGACATATATATTTTATGTTAAATGAAATGAAATATTTGCTCGCTTTTCCCCTCAAACCGTAAATATGCAAACTTGATTTGATTTGTGGTATTATTTCGAACGATCTTTAGTTACTGAGCGTGTAAAATGTTTAAACTTTAACCAAAATTCTTAAAAACCAATTTTTGATGGCTCCCTCCGAGCTCTCTCAGATCATCTGATGACGCAATGTACAAATTGGTAAAGTTTAGGCACTTTCAACAACCGCGATCCTCCGAACCTCTTGATATTTTCCCCAAAGCAGCGCAGCAAATATTTCCCAAAATGAAAACCCCCTCCCAATTTTCTATCCCACTTCCAAGACTCCCAAAAAAACTAAAAATTTATAGATTGATTGATCCTGATTGTAATTTTTGTTTAACTTAAATATACACACACTTAGCACACTTTTGTTTATGCCTAATTTGTAATGTGTAATATATTATATGTATACTTTGTACCTTCTTATGTTATACACCCGACTCCAACCCTCCCCCTTTCCACTTTCCCCACTCGCTCCACCCACCCCTCTCTCCTACACACACACACACATACATATATATACATTTTGGCAATTCAACTTGAATGTCTACTTTTAATGTAATTTAGTTGAATATTTTAGTTGATTTTTATTATTATTATTATTCGTACTCCGTTCATCGTGCTACGTGAACGGGCCACTAAATAAATTTAATTGTATTTCAATAAAAAACAAACACAAAAAAAAAAACTACATAAAAACAAACAAGAAAAGGACAAAAATTACATTACTTTCTGCTATTATTATTACTACAATTAATATTGAATTTTTGTTGAATTTTCAAATGATTAAATGAAATATTTTTAATAATTTGCGTTTTGTATTTTTATTTGATTTCTGTTTTGGTTCTTTTGGTTTGCAAACTGCTGTATTGATTGAGATAATACCTCGATAAAAATATGTTTTAAAGGATAACGAAAAAAGTAAATGCCGGACGACAAACTGCCGACTAGGAGAAGGATCTTTACGGAAGAGAAGAGATCTTTACTGAAACCTTCACCGATCGGCTAACAATCCCGATCTAGATCCAGTTTCCTCCGATCGCCACTTAGTTTAGCATTTAGCAGCTACCTCAGTTAGTCACATCTACACACACACAAATATAGGATCTTAATGACACTGAAGTACATAATTACTCGACGTAGGAACATGTTAATCGCAGCTTAAACAGATAGCTTAGAACCGACTTAACCCCCCCAGAGATTATCCTGAATTTTAAGGCCCCAATCCCAATCCCTTTTCTTTGATCTTTAGCAAACTTGATTGCTTACTGAGTTACCTGTCTATCCTTCCCCAGCACTAAATCAATTTCTTAGTTGAATTTTAATTTGAAAAGCGCCGAAAAGCAGCTGAGAGAGAAGGAGAAAGTCAAAGTGAAAGTGAAAGCGAAAATGTATTTTGAGGAAGGTCGAAAATGTTGTAGTCGAATTTTTGTTCACGTTTGTTCTCGTTAAGTTGAAGATTTCATGCCAAAGTACAAACCTTAAATCAATTCTTCGTAATTCTTCCTAAACTAATAAAACACATCCCTACCCCCCCAGTTTTATGATTCCCAAAACCTAAGTTCGCTTGAGAGGGCTGCACTACTTGTTTAGCAACTAAGTGTATTTATATAAATAACGAGTAACGAGTAACGAGTAACGAGTCAAGAAGAAACACATATTACGATCTTCAATCGAAATGGAAATTGAAATCCCCCCCCGTAGGTGACTTTATTTGCGGCATTTTGCACAGGTTTTGCTAGAAACGAATTTGGTTTACTTGCGAGCATTATTCGTACATTCGTATTCGTATTGCTACTATTATTGGTATTGTATTGTATTGAATATTATTGTATTGGAATTATCCCTATAGAGTACGTGTAGCATTAAGCATTATAGCGAGTGCAGAGAGCCGACGATGTGGTACGGAACCGCTGGTTAAAGTGGACCAACAGTCGGTTGATCAGGTCCCCCATACCGGGATGCCCCTATAACTACATAGGAGTAAAAACTGGAGTGTTGAGCAAGCAATACGAGCGAAGGCCCCACAAGGCAGCCATCATTACTGCGGAAGCCCCAACTCGCGAAAATCCCATAAATCTCATTCCCCTATCAGGGCTTTTTTGATTTAGCTAATAGGTTATATAGGCTTACAAATAGGAAACACAAACAACTACACTACACTACAACACACGGCAGTGTTTATATATTACTTTCCGTAATGTATAAACCTTCCCCCTCTATATACAATATATCTCTATATATATTATACATCTTTTTTGAGGCGCACTTGTGCTGATGGAGTATGAATTGTCGAACAATCGTTGCCATATTTATTTCGCTATAAGTCACCAGTCCAAGTCGTGTCTATGTGTTGTACTTAGGTTTTAGCAGTGCCCACACACACTTACACACACACACACACAGTTCGTTTTAACTTGTAACCCTCGATGTTGTGTTTTGTTCTCTGTAGGATCATGTATTACCCTAGACTAGATTTAGGCTAAGCTTCATTACAAAAATATATATACACATATATTTAGGGTTAGCATTAGCGATAGCCGATAACCGATAACCGAAGGACTGATCCTGTGCGAGTGTGTGTCGATATTTGAAATTGTGATGAGCAACAGCGACTGACTGACTGAAGAAGAAATCTGATGAGTTATCTCCAATACGTCTATATAGAGAGAGAGAGAAAGAGCGTGATCCGTATCCGTAGGGGAATAAGTACTACATTTATAGAGAACATCCAAGCAATTCAGGTATGCGAACTAATCAAGAAGAATTCAAGGACTTCCAGCGAACACAGAGACTAACTACGAAGCAAACAAAAGCAAACAGAACTCTCTACCTCATTGTTGAAACGTTTGTAGCCGAGTGTGTGGCTCTTTAGCACCCGACAATACCTCAGATGCAGAACCAAAAAAAAAAAACAAAAAACAAGGATAAGAAAAGACAGTAATCGATATCGATAGCCAAGGATCGATGATTGTAGATCGAAGCTAGGTGGGGCAGAGAAAAGAAATGAAGGAAATCAGAAGAGATGAAGGACTTGCAGTGTAAATTTGAATACGTATTACGTGTAGTTAATGTACAGCATCCATCATTCATCTCCATGTCATGTCATGCCATCTCATGTCCAGTCACGTCAGTCATACACAACAGAAAAACACGCACACACACATCGCCACAGTCTAAGGACACAGGACTCAGGACCCAACTCGAATCATCGCATTCCATTTTAGAGTTAGTCACGCGCAAGAAGACAACACCAAATCAAATCGATTCGCACTCATTTAGGCTAAGGCATACTCGATTCGAATACTCCCAGGACAGCCACAAAATAGTTGATAAGCACCCATTGGCATTATAACTTATGTATAACTTGGGTTTTTGAGATCAGGATACAATCATTTTGCACACTTTAATTTGCATTTGGATTCACTTGATTTCCGATTCGAAAAGAGCTCCCCGATATGTGATATTTAATTCGTAATTACAAAATCGAAATTAAATTTGAATTTGAAATTGATTAAGTAAAAGAAGTAAATGAGAAGGCGTTGGAAAAGCAAAGGAAAAACTCAACATCTGTGAGCATTGGCTTAGCAATTAAGTTCGAAAGAGTCTTAAGGTTATATATACTTGTATTTGGATTCGGATAAGGAACACCAACTGTGAGAGCATTAAAGATGATGATCTGAAATCAAATGAAATTTAAGGAAATCATATGTGGTATATTTTTTGGCTTGAAATTTGTAAAATTCGCATAGGAATCGAATTCGATCGTCTCTATTTTGGATATTGTACTTCGGTAAGCTTAGGTTTAGTTGTTTCCAAAAGCAAAAACAATCAACCACTTTTCAACACACTCAAAAAACACACTCATAACTGTGACAAAATTTATACACACAATCTGGCGTTCTGCATAAAATTCCCCTAAGTTTAATCAAAATTAACCAAAAAAAAAACTAACAAAAAAATTGAAAACAAAAGAAATGTAAACAGTTTTGTGGCTGCTTCGAAGAAAGAAAAGTAAAATAAAATAAAATAAAGTAAAAGGTAACCAATCGCTAAGTAGAAACGCTTCGGGTCCCCTAAGGACTCTCAGGCATAGGACTCTAAGCTCTAGGCTAAGCACGCTTCCCAACTAGCCCCCCTTGGACACCCAAAAAAAAAGGATCAAGGGGGGCATTCATTATACTCACTCTCTTAAACAACACACTTACACACACACACACACACGAATACAAATTAATGGAATAATTACCTCAGATTAGAATTTTTCTAGTTTAATTCTTACAAATATACATATAAATGTTAAATGACGAAAAAAACCAAAAGCAAAACTAACGAAAATATTATGAAAATCACTTATACACTCCACAAAAAAAGAAAAGAAACAAGTTTAAAAACGAAACGAGCATTTTTTTAATGGCGAGTTATGAGAAATTTTAATAGTAAAATTCAAGAGCAATTTATTATACAATGGCAACAACAAAATACCAAGTAATACCTAAGCAAAATACACAAATACATCAAAATGCATGCATCTCAACTAAAAAGAACTAAACCAATAGTCATATAAACTACGAGTAACTAAATTAAATTTAAACTAAAGCAAACTTTTAACGATTCCCCACAACAAGCAACCGATTATTAAATATTATATAGAGTACTGCCCCCGCATTTATATATAAATACTCAATATATACATACCAAGAATCGCTGCCAAATATCGAAGCTGCCACGCCCACAGAAATCCCCAAGATAATACAAAAAAAAAATATCGAAATCCCAGCTCAAGAGCCGCTATAGAAACAAGGGGAGTTACCATTTATGTAGGCACTTTATACATGTATATCTTTTATCGTATATTGATCTTGGCTATTATTATTGCA